AGTGGGGGTTTAGTGTTAAAAGTACAATTTTAAAGGAATGGGTGACACTTCAAGGTGCTTTACTATCTGACACGAAAGTTCTTTACTGACACTAATGAAAAGCTAAACAGCTCTAAGTGGAGAAACCCTTCAATCTATTAAACTTTAAAATGATGAAGCCAAAAATCTTGGGGCTTTTTCAATGACTCGGTCAGACAAATTACAGTTGTACACCAGGAGCAAATAATATAATAGTGTACCTTAATAACAATTACATTTTTAAAGCCTATCGGTGCAACTGTCAGGAGACATTGAATTGAGTGACATTAATGGATTGAGCTTCAAGGCTGTTTTATTTTGCGGGTCAATCGAGGGGAGAAGATAGGTTGTTGTAAAATTTAATCATGGTGAATAAATCAGACAGGACATTGGCGGAGGAAACATGCCGCTGCAGTGAAAACTAGACCATGTTAAGTACAGAATCATATCTCTGTTGTGCATAGCCAGCATAGACAGATCAACACCCCATATATACAAAGTGTGTTTTCATGATAGACATGCAGTGTTTAATTTCTAGATAAACTGTCCTTGTATGTTCAAATCACACTTGACGCCTAGATCCATGGACCCAGATACATTGGGTTAATCTTTATAAAGAATGATTCCAATTGTATCCTCTTCATGTCCCCTTTATAATGCTGAGGAATCTATCAAAAGTCTAAGCTCTTAAAGGAAATATTTTGTTTAACAGTTTAATGTGCAGCACTGTTAAGTGTTTGGATTGGGATGGGGAATTTGCAAGCTATCTGCATGCAGGACTAGATTCTGATTCTTTACATTATTATCTGGGAAGAATTTAACGCCATTCAGTGGAAGTGAATAACTAATCTGCTTCATTTTCACAGACACTGGTCCAATCTTTTCTCAATGTAACAAAAAACAGACAAAAAGGACCCAATATCTGAGGTCGAAAGAGAGTTGGATTTAACCAAACATTTATTAATGACGAAACAGCAGAGAACAGCTGGAACCTCTGCAGGGGGAGAACATAGGTTAGTGACCATGTCTATCCAGTGGTGTCAAAACTACACACATTTTTTGCTTAAGTAGAAGTATAGATACTGCAGTTTAAAAACACTCTGGTAAAAGTTGAAGTATCCCCTTGACCTCTTTACTCAAGTAAAAGTGAAAAAGTATGTGCTCCAAAAACTACTTAAAGTATAAAAGTATAAAGTAAACTTAAAAAAAAAAAAACGATGCCACTATATGTGTCATGATGTTACAAAGTTCTGACCCAAAATGCAGAAAACCGAACAGAAAGACCAGGGGAACGGTTTAACGGGTTTTATTGAAGAAGTTAAACAGGGGGAGAAGTGTTGCTCTGAAGATTGCTCAATCGGAACTGTAAAGTGAGGGGAAGACACAGCGGTTAGTTCAGGCTCAGTGGGGAATTTGACTCGTGAACTTGGAGAAGAGGATTTGGTTGCCGACTCACGTTTCCAGAGAAGTTGTTGAATCCTTGACTCCTGTCTGTGTGCCGTGGTTCCAGTGTTTGTCTGATTCGGTGGAGGGCGGAACAGGGTTTACCCAGAATGTGATTGATTGTTAGTGAACGGAGAAGCTGACTGCCACTCAGATTTCCTGCTGTACTTGAATGGGTCGTAGTGGAGAATAATCCTTTTCTCAGTGAGAAGCTCAAACGATCTCTTGGGGAAAGTGGATCCAAACCTCTTGTTTGAAACCCAGCTCAGTTTGAAGCTCAGTTGATCCTTCCAGGGAGAGAAGGTCAGAGAAATCCAGTTTACAGGATCACTTCCTGCCGAGAGGCAAATACAAAAAAAAAGTTAAACTCAGGTTGACAAAAAGCTCAGCTTGACTCAGCAAAAACTCAGCCTGGCTAGAGTACCCAAAACTGGCAAACACTCTGGCTTTAAAATAGTGGCAGTCAGCAGCCTAAGAACACTCCGTTTAACGAGGAAACCATCAGCAGGTGTGTGAGGAGGCGGACCAGAACCGGGCGCCTCCTGGTGGATGAAGTGAGACAAACAGACAAACAGAAACACAAACCCAAAAACAGGAGTCCTGACAATATGAATTGAAAGCTCATTTTTAAGACCATTTCTAAAATTCTTTGAGATAGGGTCCAAGGATGAGTAAGGTCTTGTTGGTCTTGCTTCTGATGATTTCCTCTGGCGTCAACAGAAATTTGACGATTAGCTGAATGTTTGCATTACATGACTCATCCAATGACACTAGTTTTAAACTGTGAACGTAAGCGTAAAAAGGGGCAGGTTCAAGGTAGCAGACCTATCACAATCATGAGTGCAGAAGGGAAAGTGCCGTATTTTGCCAATGAGAAACAAAAACTCATCTTACAGGAATAAGAAGAAAAAAAAGTCATACATGGTGGCGGCATGAAAGAGGCACAAAACAGTGTGAATGTGCTAATGAGCAAGTTACATATCAGTGGCGTTTAACACAGCCAGCATCCCAATAACTGTATTGTGTTTTATTTCATTCACATCAGGAGTAAAGAGGAGTTGGGAGCAAATAAAAATAAATCCATCCATCCATCCATCCATCCATCCATCCATCCATCCATCCATCCATCCATCCATCCATCCATCCATCCATCCATCCATCCATCCATCCATTTTCTGTCATGCTGTCAGAATAAGTTCACGTAATGTAATAAATAGTAAATAAATACACTTAACCATGCCCCCAGCTACTGAATCATTTTTTTTTTACCTGTTTCCACTATGCATGCACTCTGTGCATAATCAGGAATATGACTAATACATGCATATATTTTCTTTCTTTTTGTTTCTTTTTTTGCACAAACAACTTTATCCTTCTTATTTGGATTCAGCCTGCCCATTGAAGGCTCACATTTTACTGCAAAGCAACCCCTTTGTATTGTGAGTACCATCTCAATCTCTCTGTCACTCTAAATCATACTCGAAACAGCATTTTTTCTCCAATCATTAGAGATTTGGCTTTTACATAAACTCTGTGGTTACCATATACAACAAAAGCTCTATTTTGTATTGCCTTGCAAGGTTGTTGCCAGATAGTTAAAAGCATGGCAGATATAATCTAATTTTAAATGAGGACAATCTCTAATACATGTATTTAGGATAGCACTCATTTAGAAGTAGATTATAAATGACTGCAGTCCTTAATACATGTATATGACTCTGTAGTTCACACAAAGTCTTTTTTATGGATAAATGACACCAAACTGAGAGGAAAACAATAGGAGCACAACACAAAGCCCAGAACTAATTAGGAACCAAGGCTTGGTGAAAAAATGAAGAACCACTTGTGAAAACCCAGATTTTTCTTAAGATAAGACTTAAGTCGGGCTCAAACCACAAATGGGCATAGCAACATTTTTGAATAGGTTTTTACCAAATTTTATGCTGCTTTTTATAATCACCTAATTGCTGTCGTATAGCATTGTGGAATTTAAAAAAAATAGTTTTTATTTAACCCTCGCTGAGTTTGAGCAGCTGATTTATGCCTTTGTCTCATTGAGACTGGACCAGTACATCCCACATCTTATTGAAATCGAAAAGCAAATCATTCCCGTAAAAGATTTAATAGTACTTCCAGCATCTCGCTTAGAGCGTGTTACACAGTTTCCCCTCTTTTTCAAATGACACAGTGACAATCCTAAACAAACTTCACCAATCTTCTTGGCTCTTACATGAAAAGATCTGTTCAGTCTTTAGAGATTAACTTCTTCCATAGCTTTCTTTCATATTTTTGATCATCTGTGTGATACAGTTTGATTATAGTTCCACAATGCATTAAAAGGATAAAACATGAAATTGTACAAAGGCTTTTTTATGGGGGTCGCCAATGACTCCACTATATTTTAGCATTATAGACTTAATGAACACTGAGCTCCAAATGGAAAGCTCCAAAGTTCAAAACAAACAAAAGACTGAGTTAGCTTCTACTGAGCAGTAATCATACGAATATCCCTTCAACTAAGGATAATTTATTATAGTTCATTACAGAGATTCTTGCTTATGTTAATCTGGGGCTTTTGTGTCTATAGTTATGAAGAAAGTTTTTGCATTTAAAGCTGCAGGCTTTGTGGACTGAGCTTAAATAATTCAAAGATCTAATTGAACTGGATATGTAACTTTCTTTGATGACTTTAACAACATTGCTGTTTCCCCTTTTTTGTACTTCTGTTTACTATGCAAGCCTTGCTCAGAGAAAACTAATTAAGTTTTAATGAGGAGTGTTCACATAATTTATAACAGAGGGGATTGTGATTCATTTGAGCCATTTGTTATGTTTGATTTACATGATTTAACACAAATAGATAAAATAGAGAATAAGAAGCAAAGGAATTGGTTGGAATAGGTTAGTTCAGGAAAAAGGTTTATAGTCAGCCAAATTTCAAATAAGTGAAACTGCATTATCAGAACAGAGAAAAAAAGCTTAAGAGGCACCGAGTTGTTGTAAAAAATCAATTTGCACTTGCAATTCAGCAGAAGAGGAAGATGTGTTTTTTAGATTGAATAGTGTTTTTTTTCCTGCCTCTTTATTGAATACAGGCATCTTTCTGTTGCTGTCCAAATCCTTTAAACACCTGTGAATGTCTGGTGAATGAGCATTTATGTTTCAAAGAAAGATTACCAGCAAAATATTTTCCAATCTACTTTATCAATTACTGTCAAAAACGATGTTATCCTTAGCTGAAGAATGTGTGTAAATATATCTATATCTATATCAAAATATATATATATATATATATATATAGATAGAGATATAGATATATATAGAGATATAGATATATATATATATATAGAGATATATATATATATATATATATATAGAGAGAGAGATAGATATAGATATATATAGATATGTTTTTTGTAACAGGAGTTCCTGTAGTTTAGTAGTTGACTTTAAAGCAGAAGGATAAGGGTTTGATCCATGTTGCATCAGAAAGGGCATCTGCTGTAAAAACTTGTTGAGAAACTCATGTTGACATGCTATTGTAACCCCTGACTAACGTTAAGTAGATTATGGGAATGCAAACATCTGGACCAGTCAATAGGTTCGGCAGGAGTACAATGAAACTGAAGTGAGTGCAGAATGAAATAGCTGGAGACAGGAGATGCGCAACAATAATAATTGTATTGATAAGCAAAATAGAAAAAATATAGAACATTTACAATTTCAATAACAATAAGCCGGCAACAGAAAACAAAACAAAACCCCAGTCCCTGAGCTCAGTGTTTGTTTGTTTTTTTTTTAGTCAGTCAAGGCCTTTTATAGTTTAGTTCTTTTCCTCTCCGTCAGTGTGAGTTGTTACCACTTTGTTAGCACGTGAGGATGAGGATCTTCAGAAGAGGGATCTTCAGATGAGAGTTCGGTTCAGTTCTGGGTACAGGCTCGCCATCCCCTTCCGGAGAACATCAGGTATCCAGGAATCCGATTCGCAGCTTTCTTAACCATCAGAAAATACCTAGCCTGCACAACAATTATGGTATTATTGTATGCAGCTAAATATTTCTTCTCTCACACAGCTATAGCTTAAGTTTTTATCTTCTTTTCTCATATTATCATTTAGAATTAAACAATAACCTTTTACATTCATGTTTTCCTTAATCACAGTATCTTTTGTTTTACATGAAAACTTTTATGTTTAACATTAAATAACTTTTAACTCACAGAAAACAATTAAATGAATTTCTCCTTTTATCTGTTTGTTTTCTTTTTTAGATTAACCATAAAATTATGATAAATCATCTTAAACCAATTAAATGATTGATTTTTAACTCATCTTTCAGGTTTTGTTAATCATGACATGAAATGCAGTAATGTTTTCTCAGCATTACCTAGGATTTCTATAAACTATGACAAAATAAGTAATAAAAATGTGCATTTAACATGAAATAAACAGTAAAATTAACCAAGAAACGGTAGAAAATAAACACAAAATGCTTCATTAAAGTATTGAGAACTCAAATTTCCCTTGGTGAAACCACAAATTAACCAGAATTAGCATTTCTAGTACTTTTAAACAATAACATTTCACCCGCGATTAGCATTAGCATAAGCTAATCTAAATATAGCACATTTAGGGTTTTAACTCACCAAGTTGAGGTTTCAGCACGAGCACCGCAAGGGACCTAGTCACACAGCCTCTCTAGCTCGTATTCCTTTCCACTTAACACAATTAACATCTCCAATTAGTATCTGAACAGAGCTAACATTTGTTTACAACCATTATCTTGCAGAAAACTCACCAAGAAGAGGTTTCAGCATGAGCACCGCAAGAGACCTAGTCTCACAGACTCTCTAGCTCGTGTTCAAGAGTGCAAAAAGACCGCAACGTGTTCGTGAAACAGGAAGTAAAGCGACGGAGTGAAAATTACATTTCCTCCTTTCAAAATAAAAGTTTTTTTCAAATTAAAACTCTAAATTATTTTACAAATAGTAGGAAGAGAAAAGTCATTTTCTCTACTTGGTTACACCATGGCCACTTCTGAATAGAGGAATAGCCACCAATTAGCTTGCGTTTTTATTTTACTGATGAAGCAATATTCTGTTCACTTCTCATAAAAAACTTGGTGGCGTGGAGGCTCATTACAACAGTTAAGTAAAGTCCTATTAATAATCATGACACCAGCATAATTATCCAAATATGTAATCCAACCAACCGTAAGGAATATGTGGTTTGAGGCTGAAGTTCCACAGCCAAAATGCTGTTGAAATGTTAAAACTTATATTGGTGGTTTACAATTAAAGGGCCAACACATATTTATTCAGTTCTACCTTTAACATTATAACTCAAAACAGTCCAAACATTATGTGTAAAATTGATAATATGTGTTTGCCCTACTTTCTCTGATTTGCAAGGTAAGACTTACAGATGTGTCCTTGTAGCTGGAACTTATTCTCACCTATCAGAGGGAGCTTAAAGAGGACTGTACCCCCAACGGCAGTGGCAATCAGGACTCTTGTTATTCTAATATAGGCTACTCCTATTTAATTTTCCTTTGCCTACCTTTTGTGAAATCTTGTGAATAAGTAAATGCAAGAAACCCACAGATGAAAAAGACGTGTCTGTCCCTCATAAGCTTCTTAGTTATCCTACATTTGTTTTTGTTTTTTTGGGTTTTTTTTTTTAGATCTTTTTCCCTTAATTGTAGCCTTCAGCTTGCAGAAGCTGAAAATGGCTTGAAGAAACCTGACGGTTCCTGATGCGAGTAAATGTGTAAAATAAATAACTGCAAGTGTTACGCAGTAAAAAAACAAAACAATTGTGTTAAAAATTCCAAGGCAACCTATTTTACTCTAAACAGAGTATTTACAACTATATGGAGTGTAAATCTGCTCAAGTTTTAGAGTTAATTGTCAGTGGAAAATTTGATAGCCGTGCCGAGTAACTTTTATTCTACATGGTGATGATTACCCTTTTGGTACTAAAATGAGTAAAATTAACTCTGAAAAGTTGACACTTGTTGCATAGTATATTTACCACTAATTTGAAATTTCGACTTGTAGTTATCTGAAAGAAAGTTATATTCAACTTTGTAGTTGTTAAAATATCACACTCAGTACTGACTTTGGGTGGGTGAGATAGACTGGCCTATGTGGCTTAGAAAGCAGTAGGCAGATGTCCAGTGTAGCAGGTGGTTTATTTACGTCCAAAAGAAATTCCCCTAAAATAACTCAGAGGTTTAACATGGCCCAGGAGTACATTAACTAAACTTAAATCGACCATAATTAATGTCAAATTCACCAAACTACAGTGACCTGGTTCTCATCCCTTCTGAACCTCACAAATCTCTCTGCTCATATGCACTACTAGCCATTCAAAATTTCCCCAATTTCCTTACTGGGCCCTTGGCTGGTCCCCTAAGATTCCTTTCTTAACCAACAATCTTTGTACTAAAATATTCTTTCTGTCATGATTTGTGGATATTAAGATCTAAAGAGAAATGTCCTTCTCCTGGTAAGAGCCTTTAATTCAGAGAAAGGGTGGAGTCAGAGTAAAAAATATGCACAGCCAGGAGAAGGAGGAGGTCACTCCATTGGCTGGAAGTTTGCTGCCATTCGGTTGGCATTTGACTGCGAAGGGCCATTTTGAATGGCTGCTACTGTACCTTCTTGTTTGAAAGACATGATGGCCTTCAATGGACTCTTCCATAAACGGATTTGGCTAAGCAGTTTACCCTTTAAAGGGGAACACCGTTTTTTTTTTTTTTACATTGGCCCCTTTATTTTACGTTATTACATCATGTTCTACTCACCCATATTAGTTTTCTGTCATTTGGAGCTGTAAAATGCATGGAATTAGAGTGTAAATTTAGAACTTTGAAATAAAGGAAGCTAGCAAAAATTATTTAAAAACTGCTCTAAATTAACCATCTTCCATTGTAGGTTGCTGCAGTAGGTGGCTCCTTTCCAGTTGTGCCAAACAGTCCCTGATGGGGGTTAATATGCAATGTTTATCTCTGATATTAAATAATTCTAGAAATTACTTTGAACTGTTATAAAGATATAGTTACCCTGAATATAGACCAGTCAGACTGTGCATACTCTACAAACTTTTTGTAGCTTCATTGTACGATTGACATACTGTACTGCAACCTCAGAAGACCATGTAGACTTGGAGGTTATGAAGTTCAAATAGGTGTCTTAAAACACACGGTTCTCTTCCAAGTTTGTAATTCCCAATATAATACCTTCAGTGTACTCTGGTAAAATAAGTTAGAAGCTTGATTTTATCCACCTACAGTAAGATGTTGGCCCTTATCTTAATACTTTAGTCTTGTTGTACTTCCTCTGTCCTTAGGGAATGCATACTAGATCAAGTCTCCACTATTGGACCAAAATGACTCCACAGGTGTGTCTTTTTCAGGGGTATCTCCTTTTCCACTTTTTCATTGGTCAGTCTCCCCAAAATCTAGATCAAGTTCTGTGTTGTTTTCCCCTTCAGAGACACCCCCTCGATCTTTGCTTCAACTTCTGTGCCCTCTTCATCCTGTTCCAAAATCTAGTCAAGAACGCCTATCAAAGAAACTGCATTCACAGTCACCTATCCATTGTGCTCAGAGAAAAAGGATATCCAGGCAAATGGCATGCTATATACTGGGGGTCTGAGGGAAAATATTATACAGAACTCTGATGGGTGTGGTACACTTAGAGGCATGAGCATAAAAATATGGGACAAAGATTTGTCTACAGAGACACCTGGTCTGGTCTTGATTGAGGTATGATTCATTGTTTCAACGGGAAGGTAGGTAGGTTTATGTTGGTGTGGGGTTACTTGGGTATGATTTTTCACCTGCTGGATATCTGGATAACGTTTTTTTTTATATGGCGGTCAGTTTCAATGGGGATCTGTGTGTGTTGTGTTAGTTCCTACCTTTTCAGAGGATCTCTGTAGGAGAACTTAGTATGTCTGGCTACGATCCAACCCTTTTGTGTGCTGTACATCTTAAAGGTGCAGTATTAGATCTTTTCTGATGCATTTTTTACCACGTGGCTTCAAGATCTCCCCACCGTCGCGTAGCAAGCGGTGAAAAAGAAGGTCTGGAAGTAAAACTAAAATACTGTAAATGGTCCCCGCTACATGTGAAATCTATGATTAACATCCTCCAATCAAAAAACACGGTCCGCTGTACACTATTGGTTCCTGACACGTCGGTCATGGTCGTCTGCTTGTCCCTACCCCCTGTGCGCCCACTGCTTCAGCTGCGCAGACGCGCTGCTCCTGCTACTCTGGATGCAATACAGGACCTTTGGCTGCGCCATGATGTACACCTTGACAGACAGCATGCACATTCATGTGTTTTGAAGGCGTGGTTTTGATGGGTGGTCTGAAGTGAGAGGCATGGTTGTGTATGTTCAAAAATGTAGCTTGCTTGAACGGTTTTTCCAACATCTCCTACAGCACCTTTAATGAGTTCAGTGACAGATGATTAAAACCTGTTTGACAACTTGGATGATTTCAAGCCTTCAAGTGGATCTCCTTTGCATGGTTGTCTCCTGACACCATCAATGGCAACCCTCAGCCTCTCTCCATCCAAGAATGGGTAAAGAATGGTCCATAAAAAAGTGGCTATGAAATACCACAATGATTTGCAGCTTTAACTGCACTGTAAGGTGTTTTTCAAAGTTTATACTGGGTGGGACTGAATACAAATATGCCACGGATAATTTTCTTTACTGTCACTGATATGTTGGTCTATCTCATAAAATTCTAATAGAATACATTAAAGTTTATTATGTTACTGTGACACAATGCGAAAATGTGGACGCATTTGCTGTAGTTCAATATATTTCAAGGTTGCATCTTAAATGCAAAAGTAGGACCGTTTTAGGCTTTCAACACCATCTCATATAAGTGAAGAGGTTATGAAAACTTTTATTTGTTCCTTTTATAATAACATAAGTGAGCAAATCACTCCAGGAGTTTTCAGTAAATTTGAACTGACACTTTTAATCTCCCTCTTTTCAAAAAGAAATTTAATGCAACATTTATTAACCCTATATGAAAAAAACAAATCTACAGATAGGAGTTTTCTTTGTCATATTTAAGCCTTCGTGGATTAGTTCAATTTTAGAGAGTGCTCAAAACATGAGATGTACTGAAACACTTGTATCACTTTGTTTGGTTAATGTATTCCATGTTTACTCTTTGAAATTGTGAACAATTTACTCCTGTTTAAACTAGGCTGCAATATGCACGTAATCTGCATCATGTATGGATCCCTCAAGAAGTCAATGTAAGTGTTGCATGGAAAACTGCCAGATGCTGGATGCTTGTCTCATGTACTTGTATTTGCTTTTAGATATGCAAAATAAATTTTATTACCTTCAACAGACATGTAGCCTTGTCATTTTATTACAGTGTAATGCATTGTCGTCAAGCCAAACTCATTTGTGTCAACAAAAGCACCAACATCTCTGACCTCAACAGCTGCCACCTGCATTTAGGTTCACAGCAGATGTTGCAAAGACAATAATGATAACAAATAACAGCAAGAACTGAAGTTCACTGGAGGTGGAAGCAGATGGAAAGCGGAGAAGATGGTGGGTGGTTGCACCCCAGAGGTTGCGATTTTATTTATAATTCCATGTTTATGCCTTATTCTATTTCTTCATCACCCTGCTCCCTCCGTTCTCTTACTCTCTCTCTGGAAAATAAGACCTGAGGCTCTCATTTGCAGCATCAGCACCAGTGTGAGGTATGCTGCTTTTTTTCAGTTTGAAAGGAGGCAGAGTTAGTATACTGTAGGGGTATAGATGTGTCATTATAAAACATGCAGGGTAAAGAAACTTACTTTAGAAGATCAACTCAAACCCAATCAGGCCATTTTAATACTATACCAACAAGAGGAATGCATTATGCATTCATTATAGGGTAAAACTAAATTTAAAAGTATTAGAGCCAAAAGAAGATTTATCTGCACCTTTATATTTTTCCCTGGTAACGTTCTTTTATAAAACTTTTGTTT